ACAAGCCATTTTTAGGGGGGGTCAAAAGGGTCAGATGGAATTACCGGCCGGCCACCAACTTTTGGTGTCCTCCCATGTGTGTACAACACAAATATGTGGTTAAAAGTTCAAGAAAATGGCTCAAGGTTGTTCAACATTGGCTCGGAAGTGAGAAAAAACGGGCGTCAGAGGGCGCCGGAGGAATATAACTGGTTGCTGAAACAATTGCTGGCCTCCCACCCTTCTACGACCTTCCTGGTGATGAAACAGAGGTACCTGTCAAAAATGAACGAAAACCGATGCAAAACGAGTGCTCAGGGGCCAAAACGCGCAGTTCGGGGTCCCGAAAATGGGCTGTTAAGCACCGAAAGTGGCATTCGACCACGAAGTGGGTCTCTCAGACATCAGTGTCCCTCAAAAGGGAGTAAATAGGAAGTATGCCAAAAACCGGGGCAAATGGAGGAGGTTAGGCGGTCCTGAACCGAGGCACACGGCCAACGGTCCCGAAAAACCGGAAACCGAGCTCCGAAATGGGCAAAATGGCCTACGGCCACAAAATGTAGCCCACGGCCACCGAGAGATGGTCTACGGGACCTTTCCCTCCCCTCAGGAAAAGAAACAGAGAAAACCGAGTCTGGTTCGCAAATCGAGGCAAGGCACAGAAGAGGGTTCAGAAGTCCGGAGGCAGGGCTCACGGCAGCGACTCTGAGACTTCTGAACGAGCACGATATACAACGTCACCGAGTGCTCAATCGGTGATGTCTGAGTCTTAAGGTCGGTCAAAAATGGGGTGTCTACAGTTGCCTCTCTTTGACAGAACTCGGAAGTCACAAGTGACGGGAGTGAATGTCAAAGCCTAGAGACGACCTATTTTTGACAAGGCCGAAGACTTAGACAAACATACAAGATAAACAGAGATGTGCCTGCAGGCATGCCCGCAGGTGAAGGGGGCAAAATGCAAAGCGATATGCACAGAGCCGGAAGTAACTCAATGATCATGCAAATGCAGCAAGCTGTAATGAAGCAAGTATTCGCAAATAGATGCAACAGTTTTAAGCAAGAATGCAAAGCAACAACTACATTTCATGCAGTTAAGAATGCGGAGAATTATTCAACCCTCGCCACGTCTCACACGGAGAAGATACGATACCTGCGCGATTCGTCTGGTTGCACCAGCCTCAAATGAACCGTACATACAATATCGTGCCTGCAAAAGAGAGAAATTCAACAAGCACAATATGCTACCAACATATATTCAATGTGATTCCGAAATTTTGACACACACAGTGCCGATGAGTGAATGCATCGCGATGCGAGAAAGGAACGTGCGTGACAACGCATGCTCAAGCACAGGGGTATGGCAATAACAAGAAGTGTGCATAATAATCCAGGTATGCTCATGAGAATGCAAGTTACGTGCATGATGGTGCAAAATGAACATAAATCAAGGTGCCCGTTTGTTACGAAATAACGAGCAAGTAAACGCGTGTTTCGGCGAAGGCGACTCGATCACGGCCTCCGATCCACTTCCGGGAAAGGCTACAACACATTCAAAAAGGATACACTTTGATTTCGATGAATAATGATGAGACACCTGTCAGAAATTGAAGCTGAAGTTCCGGCGGAGCAATTTCGCAACAGAAAGTGCACTTTCCATGAACTTTTTCAGGTCCCGGGAACTCCGATCTTCCTCAAAATTTGCAGAGAGCTAGGTGAGCATGTGGGGAACATGGCCGACTAGTTTTATGAGGGAGGGGAGGTGGCCGGCTAGATTTCAAAAAAGAGAATGGCCGGCCACCTGCCCAAATTCGAGGACAATTTGGTCTTTTCACCTTCTTTTCTTTATGCTCTCTCACCCAAACACTTTGAGCCTATAAATTCAGCCACGAGATCTTCTCCTCTTGCTTCCTACACCATTTTCTCCCTCAGATCTGAGCTCCATACGCATTTTCTAACGCCCCACGCAAGTTGTTTTCGCGAAAACATTCAGTTTCAAGCACTTTGAACTGATTAAATTTTGGTTTCGGGGCTTCTTTTCTCATTTTCGCCACTTGAGGTGAGTTTGTCTCAATATTTGGAAGATTTTCTCAGGAGTTGACTTTTGTTGACTTTTTCATTTCCTGAGAGTTGACTTTTGTTGACTTTTTCCAATTTTGGCTCATTCTTGCTCATTTTTGCTCCTTTTGCAGATTTTTTGAAAATGGTGGGTAATTCTCCTCATGGTCGAGGCCCTCTGGGTGCCGGGGATGATTTTGATGCCATGACTTTGCCCCCGAGGGTTCGACCCTTTATTCCCGGGAGGTATGCTCTGCCGGCACACGTTCTTCCCCGTGCCGTTTTTCGTCATTTTACTGATTTTGACCATCGAGCACCTGGGGATCTACTTCTGCGAGAGCCAGAGCATCACCTCTCCTATGAGGCGCGAGAGGTATTTACTTCATTTTCTGCATTTTTCGTCTATTTCGTGCCTTTGCCATGCTTGAACACGCAGTTTAGCCTATGACATAGTACTTTGCTTGCATCCTGGACATGTAGCTTAAGCACTTGAATTTCTGAACACTCGGCTCATTAATTGATTGCGAACGCACGGCACACATTAGTTAAGAAGTGGACACAAGGCCCAAACACCGATTTATCGAACACACAGCCCGAATTTGAAGGTGAACACACAGCACACACTAACTAGGAGTAGAACACGCAGCCCAAACTCCGATTTTCTGAAATCTGAACACGTAGCCCAAATTTGATAGTGAACACGCAACCCACATTGATTGAAAGTTGAACACGCAGCCCAAACTTTAATTTTCTGAAATCTGAACATGCAGCCCAAATTTGATAGTGAACACGCAGCCCACATTGATTGAAAGTTGAACATGCAATCCAAACTTTAGTTTTCTGAAATCTGAACACGCAGCCCAAATTTGATAGTGAACACGCAGCCCACATTGATTGAAAGTTGAACACGCAGCCCAAACTTTAACTTTCTGAAATCTGAACACGCAGCCCAAATTTGATAGTGAACACGCAGCCCACATTGATTGAAAGTTCAACACGCAGCCCAAACTTTAATTTTCTGAAATCTGAACACGCTGCCCAAATTTGATAGTGAACACGCAGCCCACATTGATTGAAAGTTGAACACGTAGCACAAACTTTAATTTTCTGAAATCTGAACATGCAGTCCAAATTTGATAGTGAACACGCAGCCCAAACTTTGATTTTCTGAAATCTGAACACGTAGCTCAAATTTGATAGTGAACACGCAGCCCACATTGATTAAAAGTTGAACACGCAGCCAAAACTTTAATTTTCTGAAATCTGAACACGCAGCCCAAATTTGATAGTGAACACGCAGCCCACATTGATTGAAAGTTGAACACGCAGCCCAAAGTTTAATTTTTTGAACACGCAGCCCAAATTAATTTCATTTGCACGCAGCCTATTCATTTCATCAGTACACAGCTCGTTCATTTCATTAGCACACAGGTCATTCATTTCATTAGCACACAGCTCATTCATTTCATTGGCACACGGCTCGTTCATTTCATTAGCACACAGCTCGTTCATTTCATCGGCACACGGCTCGTTCCTTTCATTAGCACACAGCTCGTTCATTTTTATACTGACACATGTATTAATTCTGAATGCAAGTTGGTTCCCGCGGTGTACGGGGATATGGCTCTACCGCTGCGAGGGATTGGTATGTAGAGCTTCCGGAGGCTGTCCGGGATTTAGTGGATCTGGCGGGGTTCGGGGCCTTCTGCGTCGGTTTATCGCGTTGTCCTGCCAGGAGGACACTGATGGCGGCTTTGGTGGAGAGATGGTGGGACACCACCAACTCCTTTCATTTCTCCGCCACTGGGGACATGACTATGACCCCACTGGATTTTGCGGTATTGACCGGCCTAGACATAGGAGGTTGGTCCATTCCTTATGACGAGGACATGGGCGAATGGGAGGCCGCTTGGATACGTCTGCTGGGGGCCCGCCCGCCTGTTGACAGAGCCTCCAGGAGAGTTCGATACACTTGGTTCTCTTCCCACTTCCGGCGGGCGGAGATGGAGCCTGGGACTCCTGAGGAGACAGAGCAGTATGCCCGTGGTTTCCTTATGTTCCTCTTCGGGACTACTCTGTTCGCCGATAGAGGAAACACGGTCGGGCTGTATCTGTTGAACGCTCTGGTCGACCTATCACAGGTCAGTCGGTACGACTGGGGTGGCGCCGGCCTGGCTACCCTTTACTGTTACATGAGCGCGACCTCCCGCGGGCAGGGAGATTTACTTGGCGGTTATTGGAGAGCCTGGGAGGTACTTTATGTCCTCTTGATTTACATTTCTGCTCCTCATTACTTGTACATTGCACACACAGCGCACTTTACAGTCTGTATTTTGCCCTCAGCACTTTGTACTTATATTCTGCACTGTTTTTCTCAGTTATGGGTCTACGTATATTTCCCTATATTGGCCCTAGAGTTGGAGGTGGCAGGGCCCCTCATGAGCCCATACTCACTGGTGTTCGAGGGCCAGCACCGGCCGAGACGCCGAGAGACTCTCTTTTATCTTCAGCAGTATTTCGACTCCGTGCAACCGTCGGAGGTATTTCAAAACTCTCGATCCCTTCCATTTTCATCTTTGATTTGCCCCGCATATTCCCGATTTTTGATTGGTTCATGCAGTTGTTATCCGCAGATTACATGGCAGCCCTGGGCGCCCTTGGGTAACGGTCTCCGATTTCAGTATGCCGGAGGATCGGGCACCTCCCAGTACAGGACCCTGCTCGAGGGACCGGTTGGTAGAGCATGGTTTCTGGGGGAACGCTTTCTGCGTCAGGTATGGGGGTACAATTCTCAGGACCCTCCCGCAACACCCCCAGCCAGTATGCGGACTGCTGATAGGCTCTCTTCCCAGGAGGTAGTCGGTGCTATGCTGGGTAGTAATGCTTTGCTACATCTCGAGGAGGGGGACTACGCCACTTACCGTCATACATATTTGGTGCCTCCATTGACGGGAGTTCGCACCCCGATGACGAGGTCTGCTGGTACACCATCTTCAAGCCAGGCCCGAGCTCGGGCTGCAAACGCCCCTTCCACCAGCAGGGCTGGTACATCTAGAGGTGGAGGTAGACCGGTTCCCCCGATTCCTCCGACTTATCCTCATCTTGGATGACCAGACATGCCGACTGAACTGATGGGATGGCAGTATGGGACTACTTCTCCAACTCTGATCTCGCTAGAGCCTCCGATGCCCGGTGATCGATACGCCATTGATCCCGACTCACCACTGGTATGCCCTATTGTTTTTCATCTATCATTCAAACATTTAGACATTTCTTTATTCACTGATGATTATGAGCTTGTATTTGCAGCCACCCCGAGAGTACGTGGAGGAGGTGGTCGGACTGGTGGCCTCACTCGAGGGCATGGTCCTGCGAAGGGAGACACAACTATCTATCATGGGCTTCCAGGTACCCTTCGGTTTCCTGGCATTTATCATACTTCTGATGACATGCTGATTTCTACTGCATTGATAGGCTACTTGTGTAGAGCACATTTGACACACACCCCACTTGTACACTGTGTTTACATGCACTCATTTCATGTAGTTTTTGCTTGTATCTGCATCTGATGTACATATTTGGACTGATGTGTTTGAATTAAACTCCTTATTTTCAGATGCCCCCGGTGTACGCTCAGCCGCAAGCCAGGCCACCTGGGCCTCCTTAGGGAGCTAGGCCATCTGGACCTTTTCACGGAGCTGGGTCATCCAGGCCTTCTTAGGGAGCTGGGCCATCCGGCCCTTCTCAGGGAGCTGGGCCATCCAGGCATTTTCAGGGAGCTCGAGGAGGGTCCTCTCGCAGACGCAGGGCACATGTTATAGAGGCGGAGCCCGATGAGGAGGAAGAGGAGGAGGTCACAGACCGTCAGTCAGAGACATCTGCTGAGGAGGGGGACTCTGGTCTTGGTTTCGGGAGGGGAGACGAGGCTGAGGGGGATCCTCAGGACGACTGCTCCGACCCGGATGATGATGGTGATGTAGAGGTTGTCCCGTAGAAGAGGACGAAGAGGGCCTCCCATTACTGCTCCTGAGAGCACAGACACAGCTGTTTCCTGTTTTATTTATCTTTTTTTGCTAGTAGTTATAGCACATTTGTACATTATCAGGCAGTTTATTTTCTGTAAAACTTGTGCCTTAGTCTGTAAAATGTTGTAACAAACGAGGCATGATGGGATTAAACGGCTTTTGAAAAAAGTATTGTATTTTAAGCACTTAGCATCATCGCATCATTTTGTACCAAAATGAGATTGAATGGAAACATGTATTGTGCATTTTGCCCAGTCAGGTAGTGAACCGACGCAACAACCTAACTTTCCAAGATATAACAAAATCTTAGCAAGTTTACAACTCGATAAATGAAATACGATAATGTTGATAACGCAAATAAACAAGACTTAAATAAAGATTGCTTAAACAGAGAGCAATGACTCAAAACACGAAACACGACAGCTCGACAAACAACTCGATAAGCAAAACGACAACTCAATAATCAAAACAACAACTCGATAAACAAAACTCAACAATACAAAGTGTACTCCGGACGATCTGGGCAATGGAACGCATCCGAAACAGAGGGAAATGGAGGCCTTTGACTCTCCTGTTGCATGGAAATGCTCGAAACTTTCCCTTGGAGGGTAAAACAGGTCCAAGGAGGCATATTGGAGCATGGCCGGCCACCTTTGGGAGCCGGCCGGCCAGTTTTATGGAGAGGGGGAGGTGGCCAGCTAGTTTTGAAAAAGGAAATGGCCGGCCAGCCAGAAAAGGTGGCCGGCCGGCCACTTATCCCTGCAGCCGCCCAATTTTTGACACGTGTCCTTCTGAATAGTGTTTTTCTCTCTTTAAAAGCCCCAGCTCCATGGTTCATTCAAATCACCTCAGTTTTGCATCAGAAATGGAGGCGTTTCTTGTTGAAAACCTCACAGCTTGGGTCGCTTCTCTAGATGGTTCCGAAAAGCTGAACTTCTGGGGTTTCGGTTTGAATGCACTGTTCACGCTGAGTCGCACTCCGTTGCACCCTCTTTTCCTCCATGCCGCGGCGAGGTTTTGGAACCCGGTGACGCACGTCTTCAACTTTGGCGGGCAAGAGGTATGTCCGAGTCTTGAAGATTTTCAAGTTTTGATGGAATCTGAAAGCCAAGAAGAGATCTTGCCCTAGTTTCGCTTCGGTCACGCCCAGGCTCTGGGGCGGATGTGCGGACTCACCGCTCATGATGCTCGATCTCTGATCAGTAATGAGGAACTGGATATCCTTGGTTTGATCCATCGCTATTCTGACGCCGGTGACCGCAACAACCATTATTGGCAAGGTTTCCGGCAACACGCCCTCTGCTTGCTTATTGTCTTACTTTCTGCTTTCCTCGAGTTTCGGCGGAGCTAGCATTCGTCTGATTGAAGTTACCCAAGGCTTGAGGAAAGGGAAGAGTTGCATCGCCATGACCCTGGCTGAGACTCTGATGGGCTTGGATGCTTTTCATCGCCGGGAGACGACTAGATTTGCCGGGAGTCCACTGCTGCTGCAGGTACTGTTTCCCTCCCAATCTTACATGTGTATTTGCTCACATCACTCGGCCCTTAGGCTCGATTTTTTTTCGCACAAAAACCTTTGTCTTATTTTTCTCTCATCGTACATCTCTCTGTTCTTCATTCTCTCATTTTTCATCCCTCCCCAGGTATGGCTAATGGACAAATTACAGGTCGTGGACTCTTGCCCGGCCTACTCAGCGCGAGGCTATTTCTTGCGACAACGCCTAGTCAATGCCCTTGATGAAAGGTGGTGGTTTGACTGGATGTGCAATTTGTCTGCAGATCGCATTGCTTGGCGTTGTCCTTGGCTCAATCTCCCGGCAATGAGCTATAGCATGTCCCGGATGATCGGGATCCAGTTGGTTGGTCTCACCCACTATGTATTTTACTTTCCGTTCCAGTTCCTGCGCCAGTTTGATCATGATCAGATTTTCCCACCAGAGGGGATGGAGTACCCAACTGCTTTCCCGGTCCGAGGTGCACAACTTGCGCGATATGCCACAGCATGGAGGACTAGAGAGCTCCTGGCTCCTGCTCCCACTTTCAGTTGCACTTTGTCTGACGAGTGCTTAGATTGGCTCAACGATGAGGCACAGGTTGGGCCTAGCTTGGCGTCAGAGGCTTCGACCAGCTCTAGGAGGGGGCGCAGGGATACTTGACTCGACTATGCCCCAGATTTATTACTTTATTAGTACTTTCAAGTTTTCTTCATGAATGTAATAAAAAGCAGTTTCGATTGTATGCAAGAGTAGGAGAACTCTGTTTTGAAATCAATGAAATTGAAGGTTGTGGTACCGAAAATTTTCCGCTTTTGGTCCAAAAATGGTCTTAGTTGTAAAGGGATTAATTTGAACAAAGTCAACTTTTTACTAAAACTTTTCAACACATTTTCGATATGGATGAAAACCGGACACACCTAAGATCTGTCACTGAGATGCACAACCCCAGATCCTTGCAACTGGAAAGTTGCCCCTAGTTTGAAGAGTACCACAGCACAGCATGGCAACAGAAAGTTGCCCCTAGTCTGAATGACGCCGCACTGTCGTGGCAACGGAAAGTTGCCCTTAGTCTGAATAGCACTGTACCGGAGATCGCGATAAATGCTGATGGATAAAGATGACTGAGATGGTCAAAATGGACAAAGTTGATCGGGGAAAAGTTTATGGCTGAACTTCAGGGTGAAGCTGCCTACGTATCCCAAAGATGGGAATCAAGCCTTACGTAGTTCAGGCTTAGGTTCACTCGGGTATTTTCACTCTCCTTTTATGCTCTAACTTTTGCCAAGGTTGCCCTTTGCGAGTTTTCAACCTTGCGAGCTCAGTTTTTACATTTTCGAATTTTTTTTGTGCTCTAACTTTTGCCTAGGTCGCCCTTTCGGGTTTTCGACCTAGCGAGCCTCTCAAGGGTAATATTTCTTCAACTTGTCCATATTGATCGGTTGTGAGAACTCCAAGCCATCTAGATCCATCAGAACCACGGCTCCACCTGACCAGATAGCTTTGATGATGTAGGGACCAGTCCAATTGGGTCTGAACTTGCCCCTTAGGTCGTGGATGGGAGCTCGGTTGTCCTTGAGCACCAAATCTCCTTCCTTTAGATTCCTGGCCTTAACTTTCTTGTTGAAAGCCCCGGCAATTCTGCGCTGATAGCCTTGAACATGGTACAGTGCTTTTAGTCTTCTTTCATCAAAAAGCATGAGTTCCTCAAACCTGCTCTGCTGCCAATCTGCTTCGGCTATTTGACACTCAGCCAATACGCAATGATGGAACCTCAATCTCTATTGGTAGAACGGCCTCCATCCCATAAACCAATGAATACGGAGTCGCTCCGGTAGAAGTTCTGATTGAAGTCCTGTAGCCCTACAGAGCAAATGGCAGTTTATCTGGCCAATCCCGATAGGTTTCCACCATCTTCTGCAGTATGTGTTTGATATTCTTGTTGGCGGCCTCGACCGCTCTGTTGGTCTGCGGCCGGTATGTAGATGACTTATGAAAAGCCACGTTGTACTTTTCCAACAAGTCTATCACTTCCTTCTTGAAGTGGGAACCATTGTCTGAGATGACCTCGTTTGGGACCCCATAGCGACAAATGATGTTGCTTCTGATAAACTTTGCGACGTGTGACGCCTTCAACACCGCATATGATTGGGCCTTGACCCACTTCGTGAAATATTCTATCGCAACCAGGATGAACTCATGCCCATTCGACCCCTTTGGAGTGACAGCCCCGATCACATCAATTCCCCAGACTGAAAATGGCCATGGCGAAGTCATATTGTACAGCTTCGACGGCGGGATGTTCATGCGATTTGCATGAATTTGACATTTGTGGCATCGCCAAACAAAACTAATACAATCCTCCTCCATGGTGGACCAGTAGTAACCCTGTCTGAGGATCTTCCGTGCCAGCATTACCCCATTCATCTGTGCACCGCATTCTCCTCCATGGATGGCCTCCATTAGGCGCTTCGATCCCTCAGCTTCTACACACAGCTTGTGCATTCCCAGATGGCCTCTCTCATACAGCTTACCCCCACAGATGATGAACTGAACGACCATTCTTCTAATTGCCCTTTTATCCTTGGCATTTACCCCTGGCGGGTATACTTCCTTTTCCAAGAAATTTCAAATGTCATAATACCAAGGGTTTTCGTCCTGAACCTCATCTATAGCGGCGATTGACTCATAGGCTGGTGCAAATTTCTGGTCAATGACGACTGGACGCATCCGGATTCCAAACGGGATGTCTATCATGGAAGATAGAGTTGCTAAAGAATCTGCGAACCTGTTGTTCTCTCTTGGAAGATGAGCAAAGTTTAGCTTTTCAAACTGAGGGATTAGCAAATCCAAGGTCTGGTGGTACATCATCATCTTTTCTTCCTTGACTTTCCAGTCTCCGTTTGCTTGAGATACAACCAGGTTTGAATCCCCGATGACATCCAACCGTCTTGCCCCTAGTTCCAGGGCTGCCTCTAGACCGGCAATAGATGCCTCATATTCAGCTTCGTTGTTCGAGACCTTGAATCAGAGTTTGAAGGCTAGAGGGATACGGGAATTGTCGGGTGCTATCAGCAACACCCCTATCCCATACCCGTACTGATTTGACGCTCCGTTAAAGTACATCGTCCAATACTCGTCGTCGATGTGCAAAATGGCTTCATCTAGGAATAAGTACTCAACTGCTTCACCTCCTTCCACTGGATGGTCGGCCAAGAATTCTGCCACTGCTCTTCCTTTGACTGACTTGCGTGTTACATATTTCAGATCGAATTCGGAGAGCAACAGCAACCAACGAGCTAGCCTACCCGTAAGTGCCGGTTTCTCAAAAAGATATTTGATGGGATCGAGTCGTGAAACCAACATTACGGAGTGAGCTAACAGGTAGTGCCGCAGCTTCCTGGTAGCCCATACCAAAGCTAAGCAAGCCTTCTCAAGCGGAGTGTAACGGGTCTCATAATCTAGCATTTTCTTGCTCAGATAGTAGATGGCCCTCTCCACCTTATCTCCTGATTCTTGTGCGAGCATGCAGCCCATTGTGGTCTCAATCACTGAGAGGTACAATATCAACGGTTTCCCCGGCTCTGGCGGCGACAACACAGGCGGATTCTGCAAGTATTCTTTGATCTGTTCAAAAGCAGCTTGGCATCGGCCGTCCCATTGGAATTTCTTTCCTTTCTTCAGGAGACCAAAAAGTGGTTTACAAGTCAAGGTTAATTTTGAGATAAACCGTCTTATGAATTGCACTTTACCCAGAAAGCCTCGCACCTCCTTTTCAGTCCTTGGTGGTGGCATTTCTAAGATGGCCTTGATTTTTGAAGGGTCGACCTCGATGCCCTTTTGCGTAATCAGAAACCCTAGTATTTTTCCCGCCGTGACACCGAAAGTACATTTCTGAGGATTTAGCCGCAACCAAAATTCTCTGATCCTTTGGAAAAACTTTTGCAAGGCGGTGTAGTGGCCCTCTCTTTCCTTGGACTTGACAATCATGTCGTCCACGTACACCTCAACCTCCTTATGGATCATGTCGTGCAATATGGTGGTCGCGGCCCGTTGATAAGTAGCTTCGGCGTTCTTCAACCCAAACGGAATTACTCTGTAACAGTATGTCCCCCACGGGGTGGTGAACGCAGTCTTTTCTCTGTCTTCTGGTGCCATCACTATCTGATTGTACCCTGAGAAGCCATCCATGAATGAAAGTAAAACATGCCCTGCCGTAAAATCCACTAACTCATCAATATGCGGTAAGGGAAAGTCGTCCTTCGGACTAGCTCTGTACAAATCCCTGAAATGCACGCATACTCGGATCCTGCCATCCTTCTTCAGCACTGGAACGATGTTGGCCAACCAAGTCGGGTATTCGGATACCTGCAGGAAGCCTGCGTTGATCTGCTTGGTAACCTCTTCCTTAATCTTGAGAGCCCAGTCGGGGCGGATCCTTCTGAGTTTTTGCTTAACAGGTCGGGCTTCGAGGTCAAGGGGGATCCGGTGCTGTTCAATCTCAGGATCGATCCCAGGCATGTCTTCGTAGGACCACGCGAAAACATCTTTGAAATCTTTTAGTAAAGCGACTAAGCGCTCGCGTTCCTCCGAAGACAGCGTGGACCCGATCTGGACCAGCCGCGGGTCCTTCTCAGTACCAATATTCACAGTAGTGATTTCATCCATTAAAGGTTTAACAAATCTTTCCTGCTCCTGATCAATTAATCGTTGCAAAATCGGAGGAATTTCTTCGTCGTCGTTTTCATCAAAATTTTGAAAATCCTGATTTAAGCAATAAATCAAAGGCACAGAAAAATACTCAGAAACCACATCCACATCATTCTCATTAAATACTTCCAAGCCGTCCGATTCTTCTGTTACAACAGACTCAAAAGTGAAAGAAAATGACGACCTAGACAGGACTGTGGCATCCGGGTTATCACCCCCAGGAATACCGGAATCAGACTCAGTTGAGCTGGAACCTAATTCCGACTCACAAGACTCGCTGGAATCAGATTCTGGCTCACTACCTGACCCGGCGCTGCTTGACAAAAATCCCTCTTCATACTGCCAAATGAGAGAGGGTGCGATAGATGCATCCAAAATAGTATTCTGGTGGAGGGGGTGGTGGTTGAGGATCCACAGCAGGTAAAGGATGTGGTTTGGGCTCACTTTAACAAGCACTTTTCAGAAGCATGGAGGGTTAGACCTGGCTTGTCTGGCAATTTTAAGAACATAAGGGGTAGTGCTTGTTTTCAGCAGCTGGAAGCAGAGTTCTCGGAAGCTGAAATATGTGCTGCAGTCAAAGAGTGCAATGGGAATAAAGCACCAGGCCCCGATGGCTTCAATTTAATGTGTATACAAAAGAATTGGAAGGTGTTTAAAGCAGATGTCATGATGTTCATGAAAGAATTCCACAGCTTGGGTAAATTGGCTTTCGGTTTGAACAGTTCATTCATCACCCTAATTCCGAAAAAGGCCAAGGCAGTCAATCTTAAGGATTATAGACCGATAAGTTTGATTGGATCGATGTACAAGATTTTGTCTAAGGTTCTAACCAGTAGACTTAAGCTAGTTATGCCAGAGGTTATAGGTGAAACCCAATCAGCTTTTTTGAGTGGAAGGACTATCTTGGACGGGGTTTTGATCGCAAATGAAATTGTGGATGGGTGGAAGAAAGCTAAGAAGAAGGGGGTGTTGCTTAAACTTGATTTTGAAAAAGCGTATGACTCCATCAACTGGGGTTATTTGCTGTCCATGCTGTCAAATTTTGGCTTTGGCTCTAAATGGATATATTGGATGAAGGAGTGTATTGCAACTGCTAGAATTTCTGTCCTTGTGAATGGGTCACCAACCAAAGAGTTTAGCCCTCAAAAAGGACTAAGACAAGGTGATCCATTATCACCCTTTCTGTTTAATTTGGCTGTAGAAGGGCTTAGTGTTCTACTACTCAGAGCAAGGGAATTGGGCCTGATTAAAGGGGTGCAGATTGGAGTTAATGGGGTGGTTGTTTCACACCTTCAATTTGCTGATGACTCTTTACTTTTCTGTGAAGCGAATATGGAAGAGGTATTGAACCTTAAAAGAATTTTAAGGTGCTTTGAGATGATTTCAGGTCTTAAGATTAACTTTCACAAGAGTGTGGTTTGTGGGGTTGGAGCTACAGTCAATTCTCTTAAGGAGTTCGCTTCTGTGCTCAACTGCAAACAGCAGAACCTGCCACTGAAATTTCTGGGTTTACCTCTGGGTTCTTCTCCAAGTAGGAAGAAATTTTGGCAACCTGTTTTAGATAAGATAAAATGCAGACTAGCGGGGTGGAAAAGGAGACTCTTATCATATGCTGGAAGGTTGACTCTCATTAAATCAGTTCTGTCCAGTTTGCCAGTGTATTACCTCTCCCTCTTCAGGTTGCCAGAAGGTGTGGCTAAGGAAATAGATAAAATTCAAGCAGCCTTCTTATGGGGAGGTACAGAATTGAAAAGAAAAATTCACCTAGTGAAGTGGAAGGAGGTGACCAAGAGCATTACCCAGGGTGGGTTGGGAATTAGGAGAATTAGAGAGGTAAGTTCTTGTTTATTATTGAAGTGGTGGTGGAGGTTTGCAAGTGAAGATCAAGCATTATGGAAAAAGGTGATTTGTCAGAAGTATAAAATTGAAGCTGGAGCTTGGTTCCCAAATCAAACTGGTGGTAGAAGATGGTCAAAGTTATGGGGTGATATTATAGCAGTGGCAGAACATAGTACCAATCTATTCCAATTTTTTGCCAACAACTTCCAAATTAAAGTGGGAGATGGGAATAGAGTGAGATTTTGGCTTGATGTGTGGCATGGTGGCTTTTGTTTTAAAGAGGTTTTCCCTAGACTGTTTTCACTCTCTACAGAGAAGAATGGTTCTTTAAAATTTTTTGTTGACAAAAAAGGTATCTCTGGGGCTTGGGATCTTTGTCTAAGAAGGCCTTTGAGGCAGTGGGAGGTTGAGGAGGCATTCAGGCTCACTGATATATTAACAGCAGCTCCTAGGTTAAGTTTGGGGGTTAAAGATAATCCAAGGTGGCTGGATTGTAAACCAGGTCAATCCTTTGTTGCTTCTCTTTACAGGAATTGTGATCTGGGTTCTGGTGTAGCTGCAAGTACTTCTAGACTGGTGTGGATTAATTATGTCCCACCCAAAGTTCAATTCTTTGGTTGGCTAGCTTGGAAACATAAGATCAAAACTTCTGCTTTCCTTCAAAGGGTTGGAGTGTTGGGTGAGGAAGCCTCAACTGAGTGTATTTTCTGCAAATCAGAGGTAGAATCTGCTTCACATGTCCTAATTTCTTGTCCTCTGATCTGGAAGGTCTGGTCTGGTTTAGTGAAGTGGTGGGGTTTGGTTTGGGTTGTACCTGGCTCTGTTGAAGGCTTGCTGCACTGGTGGGCTGGCACCTGCCTCATGAAAGCTGAAAGGAGAGTTTGGCTTGCTATCCCTCTGGTTGCAATGTGGTCTATTTGGAAACATCGGAACAATTGCTTGTTTAATTGTGTTCAACCGGATATGGAGGAGCTTAAGGAGTCCATTATTATCAGGCTAGCTATTTGGCTGAAGGCATCCTCTAAGGATTGGCCATTCTCCATCAATGATTTTCTTTTTAATATCAGCCAGATTCGGGTTTGTTTAGGTGGTCGGGGTTGAGTGTTTTTGCAGCTGCAGCAGTGATTGGCCTATATTCTACCATCTTCTGGTGTGCAGTAGCAGCATATGTGGGTTGGGCACTAGAAGGTAGAGTTTTCAGTTCATGATGGTTGTAAAGGTTTGCTGCCTGGGTGTATATCTGGTGTGTGGAAGGTCTGAGTTGGTTTGGTTTTAGCCTGATATCTGCCTGGTTGTCTGCTGGTTATGGAGGGTTGGGTGGGGGGCTGCACTTAGTGAGTATAGTTCTTAGATGTGTGTCCTGCACACAGAGCTCCCCTGTTTTGTTGCTTTGATTAGAGGCCCAGGTGTAGTTATGCAGAATTGCTGTCAAGATGTCTTCAATAACTCAGAGGCTTCAAATTCAATTCTGCAGTGCAGTTTTGGTCTGGTGTAACCTGCACAGTAGTGCATTGTACTGCAGGTTTTTCTTTTATGCTGTCTAGTAGTGCATTGTACTGCAGTGCAGTGTTTTTCTTCTATGCTGTCTTGGTCTCAGCAGTGCCTTGGGCTCTTGCTGCCTGGAGTGTAATCTGTTTTGCTGAAGTTGTAGGGTGTGCTTTGTAGTGCAGTTGTACTGCCTTGGATCTGTTTCAGCAGTGTGGTGATTTTTCTGTTTCCTTTTTTGTTGGTTTCTCACCAACTGATGGTTGGAGCTTTGTCTAGCTCCTACCTCCTCTTTATTGATGCTTCTTCTGTACCCTATTTGTGCTTCATCAATAAAGCTTCTTTGCCGTTCAAAAAAAAAAAATAGGACTCTAACCTGTGGTGTTGTTGTTGTTGTTGTTGTTTTTTTTTTTTTTTTTAAAGTTAAATTTAACAATATTATTACATTAATCATATTTTTTACTCACATTTTATTCACCATGATAAGAACTCGCAAATATTCGACCTAAGAGTTTATCTCATAGAGGGGTGTCTTTTATAAGACTCAAGTTTCTTATTCTAATTTATATCTATCTATATATTATATAAGGAGAATGATCTTTTTAGTAAGGAGTCTTATGAGAGTTTCAATATCTCATACTAATTTTCTTGATTTTCTTAATTTTAAATAATTAAGAAAATCTCCATTAGCTAGCTTTTATTTGATAATCTCACATCGAGAAAATAATGGAAAAAAATGAATTGTTTTACTCATATAAAAATAATTTTATACTTCCATCCCATTTAATGAGGAGCGTTGACAGTTTGAATATCTCATACTAATTTTTTTGATTTTCTTAATTTTAAACAATTAATAAAATTTTTATTGGCTAGCTTTTATTTGATAATCCCACATCGAGGGGAAAAAAAAAAGAGTTATTTTACTTATATAAAATGAATCTTATACTTCCATCCTTTATTTGATAATCCCACATCGGGAGAAGAATGAAAAAAATGAGTTGTTTTACTCATATAAAATGAATCTTATACTCACATCTCATTTAATATTGTAGTGTTGTGAATATTTCAATTCAATGTAGTTTAAATTTTAAAATTTTTAATTAATTAATTTTGAGTAAGCCGATTAGCTAAATCATTTTTGATTTGATTGATTCATTGGTTAACCGTGATTTTAACGGTTTTATCAAAATATATTGATTAAATTTGTTTGATTCAAAATAAATTAAAGATTGATCTGATTAAAGATTGAAAGATTGAGATTACTTGATTACAAATAAACTTTCTATCTAAATAATTGTTAACTTTTATTTTATATTCCCGTATCGAAAAAAGAAGAAAAAATTGAGTTGTTTCACTTATATGAAATGAATCTTAATAGTGTAGTATTGCGTATAATTCAATTCAAGACAGTTTAAATTTTAAAATTAAAATAACATTTAAAAGTTTTAATTAATTAATTTTTGTATAAGTTGGTTGGTCATTTGACCTAACCGATTAGGCTAAACCATTTTGGATTTGACCGATTCGCTAATTTAATTATGATTTCTCATATTGATTTTATTAATTTTAAACAAGGGGATTGGTAGGCTTGAGAAGATGCGAAAGATTAGGAGGGTCTTGGTTGATAGGAAAATAGATTTGGCATTTTTTCAAGAAACAAAGAAGGCAAGTTTTTCATCAGTGGATGTTAAAAGGGTGTGGCATAGAGATAAAATGGAGTTTATGGTTGTTGATGCGGAGGGCAGGGCTGGGGGGTTGCTATGCATATGGGATCCTGAGGTGTTTCATTTATCAGATTGCTGCAGCAGTAGGCAGTTCATTTTGATTGCAGGTACAGTCCTTAATTCTTTTGATTGTGTCATGATTAATGTGTATGCTCCTAATGATCCTGTGCGGAGAAGTAAACTATGGGAGACTCTGGCAAGGTTGAAATTAAGTTTCACTAGACCTTGGTGCATAGGCGGAGACTTCAACGAAATCCGATCAGCGGATGAAAGAGTGGGTTGTTCAAGGAGGGAACGAGGTATGAAAGACTTCAACGATTTTATAGATAGGTGTGAGTTGACTGAGTTACCAATGCTGGGTAGGAAATATACCTGGTGTAATGCAACTGATGGTAATAAGTGGAGCAAAATTGATAGATTCCTACTGAGTCCTGAGTGGATCGAAAGATTTAAGTTCAAACTGTGGGGCTTACCGAGGCACATTTCTGATCATTGTCCTCTACTCTTAATGGAGGATGAAAGGGATTGGGGGCCCAAACCCTTCAAGTTTTATAATGCTTGGTTACTGCATCCCAGCTTTGCTTCATTCTTGGAGAATGTATGGTTAGAGTGCCAGATAGATGGAAGTGCAGGTGTAATATTGCAAAGGAAATTACAAACCTTGAAGCTAGCATTAAAGAAATGGAGTAAAGAAGTGTTTGGTAATGTCGCAGAGAAAATTAAAGAAGCTGAAAGTCAGCTCCACTCTTTGGATTTGATGGCGGAAGTCAGACCTTTGATGGAAGCAGAGCTGAGGCTTAAAAGAGAATCTAGAAGTGACCTGTGGAGACTCAGCAGGATGTTGAAATGGTCTTGGCTGCAAAAGTCAAGATTGGAATGGAACTTAAAAGGGGATAGAAATACTCGATTTTTTCACGTGATGGCTAGTAATAGACAGAATAGGAATGCTCTTAATTCTATTCTGGTGGAGGGGGTGGTGGTTGAGGATCCACAGCAGGTAAAGGATGTGGTTTGGGCTCACTATAACAAGCACTTTTCAGAAGCATGGAGGGTTAGACCTGGCTTGTCTGGCAATTTTAAGAACATAAGGGGTAGTGCTTGTTTTCAGCAGCTGGAAGCAGAGTTCTCGGAAGCTGAAATATGTGCTGCAGTCAAAGAGTGCAATGGGAATAAAGCACCAGGCCCCGATGGCTTCAATTTAATGTGTATACAAAAGAATTGGAAGGTGTTTAAAGCAGATGTCATGATGTTCATGAAAGAATTCCACAGATTAGGTAAATTGGCTTTCGGTTTGAACAGTTCATTCATCACCCTAATTCCGAAAAAGGCCAAGGCAGTCAATCTTAAGGATTATAGACCGATAAGTTTGATTGGATCGATGTACAAGATTTTGTCTAAGGTTCTAACCAGTAGACTTAAGCTAGTTATGCCAGAGGTTATAGGTGAAACCCAATCATCTTTTTTGAGTGGAAGGAACATCTTGGACGGGGTTTTGATCGCAAATGAAATTGTGGATGGGTGGAAGAAAGCTAAGAAGAAGGGGGTGTTGCTTTAACTTGATTTTGAAAAAGCGTATGACTCCATCAACTGGGGTTATTTGCTGTCCATGCTGTCAAATTTTGGCTTTGGCTCTAAATGGATATATTGGATGAAGGAGTGTATTGCAACTGCTAGAATTTCTGTCCTTGTGAATGGGTCACCAACCAAAGAGTTTAGCCCTCAAAAAGGACTAAGACAAGGTGATCCATTATCACCCTTTCTGTTTAATTTGGCGGTAGAAGGGCTTAGTGTTCTACTACTCAGAGCAAGGGAATTGGGCCTGATTAAAGGGGTGCAGATTGGAGTTAACGGGGTGGTTATTTCACACCTTCAATTTGCTGATGACTCTTTACTTTTCTGTGAAGCGAATATGGAAGAGGTATTGAACCTTAAAAGAATTTTAAGGTGCTTTGAGATGATTTCAGGTCTTAAGATCAACTTTCACAAGAGTGTGGTTTGTGGGGTTGGAGCTACAGTCAATTCTCTTAAGGAGTTCGCTTCTGTGCTCAACTGCAAACAGCAGAACCTGCCACTGAATTTTCTGGGTTTACCTCTGGGTTCTTCTCCAAGTAGGAAGAAATTTTGGTAACCTGTTTTAGATAAGATAAAATGCAGACTAGCGGGGTGGAAAAGGAGACTCTTATCATATGCTGGAAGGTTGACTCTCATTAAATCAGTTCTGTCCAGTTTGCCAGTGTATTACCTCTCCCTCTTCAGGTTGCCAGAAGGTGTGGCTAAGGAAATAGATAAAATTCAAGCAGCCTTCTTATGGGGAGGTACAGAATTGAAAAGAAAAATTCACCTAGTGAAGTGGAAGGAGGTGACCAAGAGCATTACCCAGGGTGGGTTGGGAATTAGGAGAATTAGAGAGGTAAGTTCTTGTTTATTATTGAAGTGGTGGTGGAGGTTTGCAAGTGAAGATCAAGCATTATGGAAAAAGGTGATTTGTCAGAAGTATAAAATTGAAGCTGGAGCTTGGTTCCCAAATCAAACTGGTGGTAGAAGATGGTCAAAGTTATGGGGTGATATTATAGCAGTGGCAGAACATAGTACCAATCTATTCCAATTTTTTGCCAACAACTTCCAAATTAAAGTGGGAGATGGGAATAGAGTGAGATTTTGGCTTGATGTGTGGCATGGTGGCTTTTGTTTTAAAGAGGTTTTCCCTAGACTGTTTTCACTCTCTACAGAGAAGAATGGTTCTTTAAAATTTTTTGTTGACAAAAAAGGTATCTCTGGGGCTTGGGATCTTTGTCTAAGAAGGCCTTTGAGGCAGTGGGAGGTTGAGGAGGCATTCAGGCTCACTGATATATTAACAGCAGCTCCTAGGTTAAGTTTGGGGGTTAAAGATAATCCAAGGTGGCTGGATTGTAAACCAGGTCAATCCTTTGTTGCTTCTCTTTACAGGAATTGTGATTTGGGTTCTGGTGTAGCTGCAAGTACTTCTAGACTGGTGTGGA